TCCGCCATTATTAAAAATATCGAAAGTGGAAAGGTTCGATACGTATAATGGAGTATGGTGAGCTAATATGTGAGCGATATGTTGACTGGACAGAAGGGTTTCCTGAGATTCGGCATCCCAGAAGATGCATTGTGTCACACCAGTTGAGACTGGTTGATGATCAACAGTGTTATTCGATAAAATTTCATTGAAGTTAACAACGCCACCAGTTTCTAGTTTTTTGATGAGCAAGTTGACATGAAAATCGAATATTTTGGCCGGACACTTGACGTCTACTAGTTCAGGATAGGAACCACTTGAATTAGTCCAAATACCAGATAATGAGGCGGCGACATCACTGAATAACGAGGGACCCGCGCATAGGTGATCATCATCCGAGGAAACCTGTTCTAAAACCGCGATGCGTTTTGTCGTCTTGGGTAGTAATTTCAAAAGATATTTTTCAGACCATGGCCTATAAACTCTAATGACAATAGCACCAATCTTACTATTCTTCTGACTAATGCGCTTCACAGCCTCCTTAACTAGAGTTGTTTCTCTACCAGAGACTATCAATAATGTTTCGGCCTTAGGTGAACCTACATATTCAAAGGCATGATACTGACGTCCAATAACTTTCCCAACCTTGCTTGCAACTTTCTCAAATATATCCACGACGTCACTTGTTGACGGCCGAGATAATCTCTAGACTTAATCTAGATATCTCGGAATATGACAAAAGGTTTACTCCAGAAAACTCATGAGCTGTTTTCACCCCGTCGAAAATATGTAAATATGGAGATTTCGTTGATATCGAAACTAGATGAGTGATCAGCGCGATGTCGTGGATTTCCTGAGTAGAATACGAGTTGATAATGCCTATTCCCATGTCACGCACCAAATGTATATTGGAGTAGTCGTTTAAATTTTCCAAATTGTCGTCGTAATTATGAGCGGAAACGTGAATAGTCAATGGAAATTTCTTTTGTGAAATTCTGTACAGGTTTGGAATCATCAAAACAATTGATT